TTATATTCTGAATTACATTATTTTCACTTTTTCACCGTCATCTTTAACTTTTTTATCCGGTCGTTCAGACGTGATCGTATGTAGTGGTAATTTAAAATAAATTCAATTAAAGTTTAAATTTACAATTTTTTCATAGCAATATTTTAGCGAATGTATGTGCTTTCAGGGCGTAGACATTTTTAATCTATCCGATCAATTATATTAAAGTCCTTTGAAAAAAAAAAATATATATATATATATAATACAAATAAGTAAGAAACCAATGCATTTGAACATTTTCTCTTTCAGGATGGTTATTGTCACATAGATAATGTTACATTAACAGCCAAGATTACTGGTTACGTAAATGTTACGGAAAATAATCCTGATGCTATGAAACTTGCCGTTGCAAAACATGGTCCGATCTCAGTAGCGATTGATGCGTCTCATAAAACTTTCTCATTCTACTCTCACGGCGTATATTATGAGGAAACTTGCGGTATGTATATATGTGTTTACAATGACTTTCTAATATTACAAATAAAAATATAATTCTGTAACGTGGGTAATATATTTTGTGCAGGCAATACGGAGGAAACACTGGACCACGCCGTTTTAGTAGTAGGTTATGGTAAACTGGATGGAAAGGACTATTGGTTGGTGAAGAATTCGTGGTCTAATTACTGGGGCAACGATGGCTACATTCTTATGTCTCAAAAAGATAATAATTGCGGAGTAATGACAAATCCAACATACGTTACTATGTAAAAAAAACTTGAAACAGTTTTTTTTTTTATTCTTATGTTTTATAATAATAACTATACGAAGGAGATATCTATATGAAGAGAGACACTTGGATTATTTGGGAGTTTTAAATTAAAAATCAATGTTGTATGTTGCACTACTTATAAGATACAGTTATGTACAAAAATATAATGCAAACGAGTAGAATAAAATAATTTTTTTTAAATAATACGAAGAGTATATATAAAAGTACAACTAAATCGAAGCTCGCGTCTTAACGTCTTCGAAAGTATTGAAAACGAGTGTGATATAAACATAAACAAAATGATTTTTATTGAAATAATTTTATGAAATTCGCAGCATGAAAGCGCTATATATCGTAAACTTTTTTCTTTTTTTTAATACCGTTTACTAAAAACATCTATATAACAAAGGATGTACAAATGCGACGAAATGTTTCTAGCAGAAATTCAGTTGACTATATAAAAATGAATTTTACACATCACGAAGTGCTTCTCGTTCACTTCATTTGAAAAGCATAAACAAACTTTTGGATATCTACGTGTATAATGTTGTAGAATTACGCTGTCATATTGTGGTACAAAATTAGTATTGGTTATTGTGCTTAAAATCTCATAATGGAATTAAATTGACAACTATATATAAAAATATATATAATTTCAATAGGCACAGTTCACTTAATACAGTTGCATAGTTTGTTCTAAAATTATACATACACTCAAATAAAATTCATATCGCTGTGCGTTCAGTACAAAATTGAATACATAAACAAAGGAATGTTTGTAAATCAAAGCGAAACAATGATTACAGTTTTTTCCGAAAGTGATAA